TAATTATTAATTATATTCATGAGTAATTATGAATGAGTATTAAAGGAGATAAGGAGTAGCTGAGACGGCAAGCTAAATTGCACATCTCTTTGAAGATTAGCAACAAAAAAGGCAAATTTTGCAGTGCAAGTGATGAGTTTGGTACCCACCTTGCCCATCTAGCATATATTTAACCATATGATGCAATTAATGATAACAAATTCAAATAAATGTAACCATGTTCATTAATTTGCACTCTATCAATGAATCAAGCTAAACCCTTGTTTTTTGTTTAGTGAAGAGGTTCGCTTATAATCTTTAATTAGTTCATCAATGTTTGAGATTATAATGAGATGGTTTGATGGAAAGATAGTGGTGGGAATGATTAAGATAGGCAAAAAGAGAGAGTGATAGAATAGTGAGATACCATCATAATGAGTATGAGTATGAGTGTGAGCCAAGCATGGGTGTGAGTTTGGTAGTGGTTTCACTATGATCTTCTAAGTGGGCATAGGGTTTGTGGTGTACATAGCCTTTGTTTTGGGCACTAATCATTTTCCTCAACACCTCTTATTCGAGTGTTTCGAGTATATGAACTTTGATCTTTAGGTTAGTTGATCGCTCGGATCAACCTTTTTGTTGATCACCGTATTGATCATTTTAGATGGGTATTTTGATGTGTTGATCTTCTTAAAATTTAGTCGATGTACTTTTAAAATCTTGGACGATCGGAGACGTTTTTAAGATGTCTTTAGTCCAAATTTTCATCTACATAATAATTAAGTGGACCAACACTAATTATAATTATTGATTAATTATGAATATTAAAAGGCTTAAAGACATTAGTCCATTAATTATTAGCAATTCAATGATTGCTAAGTTACAAGGGTCATATATCTCATCTACTAGTTTTTTTGTAAGGTAATTGTTTTAGATTTGGTGTAAAAAAAACCGTCCTTATCGATTCAACGAGGTCGTAAACATATATTTTCTCATGACAAATGATAGCACAATTTAAAAAAATTTAGAGCTCAAAACAAAGTTGATATCAAATCAGGCTCAAATAAGTATAAAATTGGTTTTTGTCGTCGCAATATGTCCCTCGATGTTAGATAATGTACGTTTTACTTTCATCGAGCTATAACACTTCTGCAACTTCCATTGCCAATGCCACAACCAAGTCTCTGTTGGATATGACCCACGATCGAAATATGTCGAAACAAATAAAAGAAATAAAAAAAACAACGTGACGGGAGAGATCTTTTTGAAATAAAGAAACTTCAAGTACTTAACTTTTCAATTCTCTTGGTTGTTACGTGTAAAGAGCATACATCTCATGAGTACTTACGGTAGAGCAGACATTAACAAATTTCCTAAACTTTCTACCCAAGTTAGCCGGCGCTAATATTTCTCCTTCACAAAAAATTGCTCTAAATTAATAACTTCTTTTGCTAAATCAAGCTTATTAACTTCGTCGGGTTGAGTCTCAAACCTTAATTCAGGCCGAACATATATCTGTCTACATTAGAACATATACAAACTAATATATTGACAAGAACACATATCTGTTTACATTAGAACAGTTGATCTCAATATCATACTTTTGCTATCATCATACATTGAGTATCTAAATCAAAACAAGTTGTGTTCATCTTCATTTGAGTAAGTTTAATGGGGAAAGTTGCTGCCTTTCCCTAACCCCAACTTATAATGTTCTTTGTTTTAGACTTTCTTCAACTGTTTTAGACATAAGTTTGAATGATGTTGCAACAGAGTTAACAGAGTTTCTTGAACAAACCTGCAATCTGTGGACTTCTGAGAGAGTTACAGTTTCAGCACTCACAGCCAACACTGCTTCTAAACGATCCTTCCGTCCGTGGCTCAAACCGATCATCGGCAACGACAAAACACCACTCGACTCGCAGTTGTTTCTGATCAAATTAGGCTTCTCACTGAAACTACTACTACTTCTGCTCCTTGAACTATCAATTGAATCTGTTTCTGTTCCTGCATACTCTAACATGAGTTGTTTTGCCTTCTCTTTTGACTTTGGACTTGAGTTCTTATTGAGATAACGAGCTGATTCGCCTGCCGGTGTTTCGTCGTCGTCTCGAAGCTCATACCTCAAGCAAGCATTGATCCAACGAAGGTACACTAACTCTTCAACTTCACTAAACTTGTTCATCTGAAGCCCTTCAAGTTGCTTTATCAGACCCTCATTCTCAATTCTTAACTTCTTAGCCTCCTCTCTTTCCTTGCTTATTGTTTCTACCTGTTATTCAATCGTGGTAAATAGTCTAAGCTATCATGTAGAGTTATATACAGTAAACTCAGCTATATATATATATACTAAATGTACTTTTCGTCTTTTTGTCTTTTCTGTATTCTTTTGACGGTATCTACCTGAAGTCATCAATATAAACCTCTCTCTTGTTCTTTGTGTTCGTCTAGATCGAGTGTGTGCGTTGTTGTGCGATCGTAACAAGTAGCTCATACAATACACAAAAGTACCCCTTTAAGCTACTAACCTCTGTCATCTTAATGAGAGTTGTGATTCTAGCCTTCATGACATTTAGTTTAGAGGCAAGTTCCTGGTTTTCGTGTTGAAGCTCTCGATTCTTCCGCTTAAGCTCCGAAATCTCGACCTCGAAATCCTTCTCCGCTCTCAGCTTCTTATAAAGTTCTACTTCTTTCTTGAGGGCCTCTTCCTCTTTTGCCTGCAAAGTGGAAACTTGTTTTTTGAGTAATAACAAATGTTGTTTTGTTTGGTTTGCATCAACCTGAATCTGCCTTTGCAGCTCCTTAATCTTTCCCTTAGCCTCCATTAGCTCCTTCTTCACCAATGCTCCCTTCACTATCTCTTCTTGTAGCTCCTCTCTCTCAGCCTGCAAAGAGCTGATATCATCGTTCTTGGCCTCCAGCTGCTTCTTCAACTCCATGATATCCATTTCACTGTTCTTGATACCATCATACATGAGCAGTTCACCTTCAAGCTTCCCTTTCCTCTCCTCCAATTCCATCACTTGTTTCAGCAGCCTTTCCATTTCAATCTTATGGGTTTCACCCACTTTGTTTTGGGGTAGATGTTCTTGAAGTTCATCTAAACTATGATCATGATCACCATCTTCAAGATCATTCATTGAATTAGCTTCCTTTTGTTCTTCTTGTTCTTCATCCAAGCCCTGTCAGAGAAAGGATTATAAAAGTAGTACAGAATGCATTTAAACGATTCAAAGTGGGTTTTCTGAAACATTACATGGAACATTCTTCGCTGTCGTCTTAGGTTCTTCTCTGTGTGTTCTCCATTTTCTATGTAGGATAAAAGAATAAGAACCTTAACTCAAAGAAGCAACACAGACAGTTGAGAAAAACAGAGAAACAAAGAGGAGACAACCTGAACAGATTAATGAGCTCCATGATCTGATTGTGAGCTGCCTAATTGCATAAGCTGCAATGGAAACAGCAACAAGAACACCAAATCTGTTCATCATCTGCAATCACAAAGCCATGAACTTCAAAACCCATCTTTCCCCATCTCCATGGCTAACCATATTGAGCTAAAAATAACAATACAGAGAGACAAGACATAAGAACCTTAACAAGAGACCTTGAAAGTGGACAGAAAGAACAAAAGAAAGAATTAAGACTCTGAACCGACAAGGTTATGGTCGTGTCTTTGTGTTCTTCTGAGGTCCATAGAGAGGTTCTGATTGTATGCCTAAGCTTATAAATTTAAATTGTAAATTCAAATGAGAATACGTTGTTCATTGTGATGCATTGGGAGTCGGCTTGCTTTCTTTGGTCTCAAAAACTGCCACGAAATTGAAATAAGAACTGTGGGGCAGAAATTAAATGCTGTTCAACCACTTTCTTAATTGAGAGAGGGTGTCACGCAAAGCTTCTAACTTTATGGTATATTGAAAATTTTTCATCTCTCCCGGTTTCATCACGTTAACTACTTGACTTGAACTACTTTTAAGAGTGAAGATCACTCTTACAAATCAATACGAGTTCTTACTGTAGAATTCATTCAAGTCAAACATGTTTAACTTTGGAGTTCCTATCATTGAACTATTAAAAAGGAAGTTGCCCGTTGTTGGTAGAGGCAGTAACTATAAGTTATATTAAATCTTTCTCGACTATATTAGGATTACTCTCATTTGAATCCTATATTAGTTTAGTTATTCAAATTCTAGTTTAATATTGAGGGTAAGCTCACTTAGTGTGAGACCTCACATCGGTTGGAGAGAAGAACAAAGCATTTCTTATAATGGTGTGGAAACCTCTCTCTAGCATATGTGTTTTAAAACCTTGAGGGAAAACCCGAAAGGGAAAGCCCAAAGAGGACAATATCTGCTAGCGGTAGGTTTGAGTTGTTACAAATCGTATCAAAGCCAAATACCTAGTAGTGTGCCAGCAAAGACGCTGGGCCCCAAGAGGAGTAGATTGTGAGAACTCACATCGGTTGGAGAAGGGAACGAAGCATTTCTTATAAGGGTGTGTAGAACTCTCCCTAACAGACGCGTTTTAAAACCTTGAGGGAAAACCCGAAAGGGAGAGCCCAAAGAGAACAATATCTGCTAGCGGTGGGCTTGGGCTGTCACAAATGGTATTACAGCCAGACACTGAGCGTTGTGCCAAAGAGAACGCTGGGCCTCCAAAGGGGATAGATTGTGAGATCTCACCGTGGTTGGAGAGGGGAACAAAGCATTCCTTATAAGAGTGTGGAAACCTCTCCCTAACAGACGCGTTTTAAAATCTTGAGGGAAAACTCGAAAGGAAAAGCCTAAAGAAGACAATATCTGCTAACAGTGGGCTTAAGTTGTTACAAATGGTATCAAAGCCAAACACCGGGCAGTGTGCATCAAGAGAGGTAGATTGTGAGATCTCACATCGATTGGAGAAGGGAACGAAGCATTCTTTATAAAGGGTGAATGGAAATAATATTTCAACATCTTTATTAATGTAATGGGAAATGTTTGCATAGTTTTCTCACAGCATGGCCTCAACAGCATGTAAAATAACAAAAAACTATACTTTTTATTCATTAAACCACAAGCATAGTAGAGAAACAACTACTTGCAGGTTGCAACTAATACTCTTCTAGGAGGAAGAGAAGGCCTTCTTCCATGGAGCAAAGCATAGTTATCCAAAAACAAAACATCCCCCTTTTCCCATTTGAATTGGATGCTTTCTTCTTCAATTATCTGCTGGCATCTCTTCACAACGTGTTCTGAAATCTCCATCCCATCCGCCATTAAAGCAGAGCTATGCTCCTTCCCATGCATCCCCACCATAGTGTTAAACCACATTCTTCTTCCTTTCCTTCCATCAAACACCTTTGTTAGGCACCTCGGTCCCAGTATCGTCTTCATCGCGCCGTTTGGCAGCCACTCTACCTCCATCCCCAACGCATTAGCCCTGCAAATTATATGTCTTACAAGGCTGAGTGTCCATTAATCATAATACTCAGCAGTGTTTGAAATGGCTACCTTTTTTCTGCTTCATAACGATCTGATGAACCAAAAGCATCCTCCCAGCCTCTGCCCCTCATAGAGGAAGTGTCATTGTTGCTAAGAGCAGTGAAGGTATATTTCAAGCCTTTCTTGTCCATTTCTTCAACTTCCTTTGGGAATTCCTTCACCATTCGTTCTGTTACTTTGAAACTTGGAACAAATGGCGTTTCTCCACCTTCTGGAGGTGGTATCTCACAGTACAAGATTACCCTCTTTGGATATTCCTTTATCTATTTCAATTCATTCATTAGTTCAACATGTTTGTACTTTGAAAGTAAAGCAAGGGATTTGAAAAGCTTTGTAGTTACCAAAACCATCTCATGGTGGTAGTAAATGAACTCAGAGAGGGGTCCTTCATTAGCAGTCCAAATCCTCTTATAAATATGAGTTCGAGGAGCTGGACCGACGTATCGAATGTCTTCCCACCCGAAGGCTTCGACAATCTCGTTGAACTCCTCGGGTTTCGACACGTTGTATCCTCGGAGTAAAACAGCGCTGTGTTTGATAATCATTTGGTCCAACCAATCTTTGTTGTTTTGCAGAGCCAATAAAAGGGAATCAAAGTTGGCCTTGTCTGATTCAGGAGGCTGTAGAACCAATGGCATGGTTTCTCCATCCACTTCCTTTTGGCCCTCACATTTTCCAACCTTGAACTCTTTGCTGCTAAACTCCATTTTGTTTGGTGGTGCTTCTCCTTCAAAGTGGAGGGTTTTATTTATAGAAATCTGGTTGTTTTGGACCCTTTTGTGTGTTTGTTTACATTGTGTGATATTCACAAGAAATCTATCTCTCCCTCAGTTGAATTCTGTGGGTTATGCATACAAATCTGGTTTTTGGACAACAGTGACTGTTTTGTATTTTATGTAAAAGTTCTTATTAGATGATCCAACTATATTTGTATTTCAAATAGTTATACCCAATGAAACTCGATGCATATGATAAAGACTTGTGGTTTTGGACATTTACAAAAAAAAAATATATATATATATCCATCCACCTCTCTCCACTTGTAGGAAGGTGATGTTTGGTTTAGAACCCTTCGATAAAATTATAAAATGAGGTGGCTCGTGACTGCCTCTTAATGATGGTTGGACGTAAATTCAAAAATACACTCAATACATATCAAAACATTGATATAAGTAAATTTAACGTAACCTATCAACTTAAGATTTTTTGTGATTTCACGCGGTCTCGGAGTAGGAGTTCCTATGTTTGAACCCGTGTAATATCATTTCTATCAAATTCATATTGATTTCTACTTGTTCGATTTTCTACAAATCTTCGGTCCACAAGTGAGAGAAACTGTTTAGCATTGAGACTATTATGCATTACCAAAGCTTCTCTTTTATATGTTTAATCGTGAAAAACTATCTGACATATTGTAGCAGTTTCGTTGAATGATTTCTCGACCATTTTAGGTGGAATGTCACGAGAAGTCTCTCTCCGAGCGAATAAAAGTTGATATAAATGAGGTGGTATTTTTGATAGGTACTAGCAATGCAACTTCACAAGAAATTTTGTCCTTTGCTTTGGAAGGAAAGAATAGTGTCTTTTTATTGTTCTCTTAAGAATAGTGTCTTTTCAATACGCTGAAACAGAGAACGTGTCCAACATACATGAGTCACGAGACATACTCAAAAACCCCTTTGCATCCTTCATTATCATTAGCAATAACAGCAGAAGAGAGGATAAACATCAAGACTGCCATAAATTTCTTAAATTTTGCTCACTAAACAACATCATCCAACTTGGTTTACAAATAAAGCTTCCATTAGAAATCAAATTCTTTGTTAGACCAACTGTTGAACAAGGCAAACCGATAAAAACAATGAAAACCAAAAGAACAATCCGATTATTATTTCGGGACAGACAGGGAGAAACGTGCACTCTATTAAAGAACACAACCCTTTATAAACTCGAACGAAATGGGGCACAATTAACCATTATAGCCCAAAAGATACATACTGGTTGGATTATGAACGATTAAATGATGATCGCCCTTGTCCCCGCCCCCTCCCCCTCCCATAATAGCCATATCCTCTTCCATGGTATCCTCCACGGAAATACCCCCCACGTCCAGGACCTCGGCCACCTCGTCCCCCTCGATACCTCGAAAAATCACCAAAAGTCTGCAATAGCAGTCGGGAAAACATTAAATACGGCAATTTAATTTAAAATGTACGAGACCCAGCCACCAGAAAAGTTACCTCTGTGTCTATCTTTACTTGCTCCGAATATCTAGTCCGCCCATTTTGAGGATCATTATCAATAGCATTATAAGAGAGTGAATCAAAGAAGTCATCCTTGTTGTACAAGGGCTGCATATAAAAGACACATTTAGTATGTCATGGTTTGAAAAGAATTGAATCCATCTTTTGAATAGACCTAAAATTCCGTAACTCGAAAGGCTTAAGGATGTTCTCACCTTAACCCCAGACTGTGAGACTTCACCCTCATCTTCTTCTTCCTCATCATCCTCATCACTGACATTTCCATCCACATCCTTATCCTTGTGATGAGATTTATTGCCTTTACCTAGATTTCCCCACACTTCATCCTTGTTGAATTTCTCATTCATAGCTATGAAATCAAAATCTTCCGTAAATTTGGTAACAGGACGGGAACTCTGCAATGTAAAGTCCCAAATGTTGAACTCTAGGATTATTGAGAATGTGAACCTCAAACATAAATACAAGCCTACAAATTAACCCAACCATGATGTATTTTCAGATTATGTATACAACAAATTGAGTACACTAATCATTAATCCATCACCTCCCTCAATTCTTTATAATTTTCAGCGCTCTTATAAATTTATCCTTGGATCTGAGAAACTTAGAAGTTTGTTTTCAAAGGATAATCTATCAAGTTTCAATTCAAATTCTACCATATCACTCTGATTCCAGTCCATTAAAACTTGTTCAGCACTCAAAATGAACGAGGAAAGTACACAAACTACATAAGAAACGGAGCTTAGATTGAGAAATATGAAAATACATACAACGGTGGACAAAAAAACATCCCTACATACAACAAATAGGTACATTTAAAAGAAAAATACGGAAAACCTCACACATACAAGGGTGTACAAAAGAAACAGCCAACCAAAAGGAGCCCCCACATCGACAAATAGGTACTCCAAGTCAAAAGAAAAAAGTCTAACTGATAATTGTGGAAACCCCCAGTTATCAAGACCCAAACGAAGACATTGAACCTCTTAACCTCCCCCACATACCCCAACCAGCAGTCTCACTTCCTCCAATGCATCATTGTAAAGGGAAAACAACTAAGGCCCCAAAAGGAAGGAAGAGTGTCTCCACCCAATCTATGTATTAACTTTTCCATGAAAGATCTGAAAGAACTTAAATCTTCTTTGGAGTCTTAACGTTCGTGGGGGAAAGAAAGTGGTGATGGGGTAGTAAGAGAGGTGAAAAAAGAAAGCTTCAAGAAAAACCCTGGGAAGAGGCAGGGGTCCAAAGACAAAGGTCCCTCCTCCCCTAGCCAACGCATTTATCCCCCACAGGCAAAGTAAAATAGAAACCTCCCTATAACTGGCACAGTCGTACAACCTTAGAAACCTCCAATAACCCCCTATCCATAAAGGACTGACAAAACCATAAGATAACCAAAGACAACTCACACAAATGCCGCTTATCAGAGACCACTAACTACAACCTCAATTTTGAAAGATGATACAAATGGGGTTAAGGGATGCAAAGCAGTTTCTCTACCACCCAACAGACAGCTGTCCTCCCAACCTAGGGAAAATAGAGGAAAGCCTGAAGAGATAGTTTTCCAAGGGTGGAGATCGTATTTACTTATGATTGTTATGCCACAAAGCATTCAATTCTCAAGAGAGGCACCACAACCACTTGGCCAATAAAGCCCCGTTCTAGTGTTTTAAGTTACCAACCCCCAACCTGCCTGATCCAAAGGCTTGGAAGGCATCTCTCAACTAACCAATGCAACCCTACCCCCATAGGCCCCCTCCTAAAAAAATTCCCTCATCATCTTTTCCAAACTTTTGCTCACCTGACCCAGGAAATCTAAAAAGGTAAAGATGAATGGGACCCCAATTAAGACAACTTGGATGAGAGTAAGTCTCTCGCCCTTTGGAGAAGAAGACTTTTCTCCAAGAAGCAACACTTTTAGATGACTAGACTCCAAAAATAACACTTTAAATATGTAAACAACATAAAGCAATTCATTATTGAACTTCACAACGAGTGATGTCTACATCAATTATTACTATTAATTTATTATTAAAAGTTCACAAATTACCCCAGATCCTCTTCCTCTTTCACGTCCTCTGTAAAAGTGGCGAGCCTGAAAATGAGCACCATTTGCCTGAAACTCATTAAAGTTAAAACAAAACATCAGTGTCTCCATGACATAAACTAACAAGGTGACAAGGAAATAGAAAAGGGCAGCAATTGAAACATCAGTTCGTATTTCTGATCATCTACAACTATGGTTGTGCAATTGAACACATGAATAATGAAACTAGATAAAATTTAATAATGATAAGATGATAACATAAAACAGTTCACGAAGTGTAAAAGCTTTTAAGTAGCATTTCCAGCAATGAACTCAAGAACCGGAAATAAAAAAAGGTAAATATATCACTGTGACACAATAATTAAAATGTAATCTCCTAAAACATAGACTTTGACTAAGAAGGCTTCTACAAGAAAACCAAAGAGATAGTATGACCAAATCCCTGTCCAGTACGATTATGTAGCACTTCCAGAAGTAAACTCAAGAACCAGCAATAAGCAAAGGTAAATATATAACTACGTGAAGCAATAACATAAAATGTTTAGAAGTCCCCTAAAACCCAGCCTTAGCAAAGAAGGCCACTAAAAAAGTATCTAAATCATATTATGACTAAATCCCTGTCGGTAAATTTATCACTATGTGATGCAATAATTAAAAATCTTGAGTAGTCTCCTAAATCAGACTTTGGCCAAGAAGGCCTTTACAAGAAAAACTCAATAATATCTAAAAGTTTGATCTGGCAACCCCAATTACATTTGAATCAATCATAAGTTCAATAACAATCTTCAAAGAAACTAGCCTGCATAAAGTGACACTTACAGGAAGAAAAATTAAAGATATAACAGAAAAATAGCAAATCAAAGACCAAAAATACATTTTATGAATTAGAAAGACACCTTTTGAACGGGCCTTGACAGTACAGGTAGTGGTAATATTGGCGGCTGAGCCTCTGTTGTCACTGGCATCGAAGGTTCTAACGATAATGGCTGGACCACTTCCACGTCCTCATGCACTGTATGTGAGGATTGAGATGAAACCACAGCAACGGGACCAGACTGCAACAGCTGCCCAGGGGTAACTAGAGAAGGTACAGAAGATTCGGCGCGAGAGTTGGCTATTCCAACTACAGATGAAGTTGACTGAGATGCATTTTGATACAGTAATGAGGGACCAGAAACTGCATTAGGTTCAGTAGTGATTGGTGGTATGGCAGAACTAACATCTCCACCGGAAAATGAAGACAGTATTGGACCAAGGGGCAAACTTACACTAACTGGGGCTCCAGAAAGGGTAGGAACAGCTGTCTTATTTGCAACTGAACTTGGCAAGGTTTCAGAAAAAGAAGTAAAAGGGAACATAGGCAAAGCTGTTGAAAAAGTTGGAGGGGGCACAACAGTGGAGGTCAGGTTAGGAGCACTACTATTAGCAGCGAGCAAGGGAGATGGAA